ATTTTTTACAATAAAGATTTTAGGCTCTTTTTAATTGGCATATCTTATTAAGATATTACAGGAAATCGGAGCTGAGCTTATTTTTTGTAACCTTTATTAGAAACATGCCTGTTTGTGTAATTCTTAGCATGATTCTTTTTCTCCCCTCCCCCCCCCACACACCTCCCAGGAAAGATTGATAGGGATGTCAGACATGATTGATGACTAGAAAAAACTTTAACTACTCTATTTAAAATTTAAATTTTTAAATTAACCCTTGGGCTGGAGCGATAGCACAGCGGGCAGGGCGTTTGCCTTGCAAGCGTCCAACATGGCCAACTCGAGTTCGATTCCTGTGCCCCTCTCGGAGAGCTAGTCTGGCCGAGCCCGGTTCGATTCTTCCGCCCCTCTCAGAGAGCCCGGCAAGCTACCGAGAGTATCTCGCCCGCACAGCAAAGCCTGGCAAGCTACCCGTGACGTATTCCATATGCCAAACACAGTAACAAGTCTCACGATGGAGACGTTACTGGGCCCGCTCCAGCAAATCGATGAACAACGGGAGGACAGTGACAGTGAAATTAACCCTTGGGTCAGAGCACAAATTGTAATCATATAGGTATAAAGGACCTATCCATTCCATATGCTAGGGATTTTCAAAGTAGCTTCAGACTCTCCTTAAGGGAGAGATCACTAATGAACTGAGCACATCTTTTCATATGAGTAAAAAATTTTGAATCCCTTATTATAGTGAAGCCATTAAAATAGAAATATTTACTTCGTGAGTATAATCAGTAGCTTCCATGATAACTTAATAATGGAGACGAAATAAAGTCAGGTGGGAGGCCACGAGAAAGAGTAGAATGCATTTTAAGGAATATCTACTTGCAGGCCTGAATGTCCATGGCAACATTTTTCCTCCGAGAAAATCTTTCAACCATGCATCCCATTACTGTTTCTGTAGCCCATAGTGGCTTCAAGATTGTGTTTTTAAGATAGCAGTCCTTGGCAAGGTAATGGCATAGAGGTGAGTCATTTACAGAGATTTCAGAGGTCATATCTGGAAGGGGGAGACGGGAAAACACAACAGAAATAAAAGACCACATTGAACAGGAGATGGCATTAAATGAGTCTAGAATTGCATATTACATAGCCAGCTGGCTGACATTTCCTGATACCCTTGTCTTCTCATGCAAATTGCTCCTTTATCTTTCCCTATTTTCCCAGTCTCAGTTACCTTTCCTTTCTACCTGCCTTTCAAAATGTGACTGAGGAAATGTGTAAATGCATTTCAAAGGCTAGGTGCAAGCTTTGGTGGAGGAGGAGGACTGGAATTGATCCTCACCATGCATGGTCCCCTAGCACTGCTGGGGATGACTCTTCAACACTGAGCACTACTATATATAGCCAAAAACAAAATGGGAAAAATATATATATATATGAGTTGGGAACTGTACCAGCTGAAGAAATAGGAATGAAAGCCTTTTTCATTAGTACCTCAGAGTAACTATAGCCTTTTCAAGATTCTAGGGCCACATTTGCTATATAGATGAAACAAAACTTCCCTTCTCTCTCAAAACAGGAAGAAATGAGAGATCTGTCTTCTTCTCTTTTTTTTTCTTTTTGGGTTACACCCAGCGATGCACAGGGGTTATTCCTGGCTCATGCACCCAGGAATTACTCCTGGTGGTGCTCGGGGGACTATATGGGATGCTGGGAATCAAACCCGGTTCGGCTGCATGCAAGGCAAACACCCTACCCGCTGCGCTATCACTCCAGCCCCGATCTGTCTTCTTTAAAAAATAAAATAAAACGAATGGAGAAATCTGGACAGTTAAAATTAACTTGACTCCATCAGTTTGGCTTCTCTGATTCAGTGATCAGGGCTGCAACTCACCACCTGTTTTTCTAGATCTTTCTCTCTGGTCTTGTCCTTATCTCCTGCCGTATAAGAAAGCATTACCAGTTACTTAAAGCACATCTGCAAATGAACGCTGACAATAACACATTATAAAAGAAAACCTTTTTTTATTTTTTGTAATATAATGTTTTGTTGTCCGTGTTTTGAGATGCTCATGGTGCTGGTGTTTCTGACTCAAAATATTAAAACTCTCAAATAATTGCTCCTCAATTTAGATATAGAATTAGATTAGATAGAAATGACTGAGGCTCACTTGAACCTTTGGATAGTAATTTTCAGGGATGCCCTATGTGTTAAGAGCATTGACTTGTGCTTAGTTGCTGTTCTCTTCTGCTACCTGTGGCTGATGGGGGGAGCCCCGTAACTCACGAGGGATAATAAATGTCTCACAGAACATAAAGCCGTATTTCTGGTATTTAAGAACAAGAGGAGGACAAATATTTTTGTTTTGCAAGTGTTGTTTCCAGTCAAATTTCCAACCCTGATTAAAACGGACAGTCATCAGACAGAAAAAAAAATATGATGGAGAAGGGAATAACAAGGAAGGAAGTGGCAGTGCCAGGGAAATTTGTCAAAATAGATTAGGATTTTTCTTATACATAGTATTCTGCCAGGTTCAAAAAATCTCAGCTTGATGCTACCTATCACTTCCTATTTTGAAAAAAACAATTGCAGTCGGTTGGGAATATGGGTAGCCTCTAAGGTTTGTAGGCTTTCTAGCAAATCCTGAAACTACAGTTGACCTTCCATGTATGTGAGGATCTTGTGTCTATTTCTTTGTATGTCTGTCTATGTGTGTGCATGTGTGTGTGTCTGTGTGTGTGTGTGTCTGTGTGTGAGAGGGGTGGGGGTGTTATAAGGCAGGGTACTTAAATGCTTTGTTGCATTATGTTAATTCCTCAGCAGTGCAATCAAATTCATGTCGTAATTAAAGCTGTCAGTTGGAAGGCAAGCCAATCGCCACGAAAACACAGCATAACAAATGAAGTGAAATGATTCTGCGTGTAGCTATACAATGCTTCGCCAGGCATGAAATTAAATAAGTAATTTGATGTTGACATCAGAAATTGAAATGATACCCACTGTTCCCTCATTCAGTCAGACCTGCATAAACAATAGCCAGAACAAATATGCACAACAAAGCTCTCCTCTTCACCCAGCTCCCTGAGTAATGTACAATATATATGCAAAACAAGTATAACTGAGCTCCCCAAACCTGAAGGATGTCATTTTCTTTGGTATACAATAAGATGATATGTATGGGGTGCAGGGTGGGGGTAGGTAGGTTTGAAGGGGTATTTCCGCTTCTGGTAAAAAAAATACATTTGCAGTGGGTGGGGTGGGGTGGGGCTGAAATAAATAAATGCTATGTTGTCTCTGAGTTATTCTGTGTAAAATGAAGTTTCCTCCCAGGGGTGTGCCTCCAGGCTGGCGGTGACCTAACTTGGCTTTTGCCTTCCCTGCTCCGTGGAGGCCAATGGTTGCCAGAAACAGGTGAAGCTGTCACATGGCTAATCACTGCTGTGAGAGGCTGTTTCCATGACTACTGGGGGCTCCCTACACACCATTTATGGGGTCACCAATGCAGCATGATATTTTTTAGCTGAGTCTGGTGTGCAGGATTACATGGCTCTCCTCATTTATCCCCCTGAGCTTGTCTGAAACACATAGGTAAAGAAAGTTTTGCTTTGGGAATTATATTTAGGAATGCTCTGGAGGGTACTGTCCTTGTTTGATGTTTTGTGGATGCTGTTTTCAACTTTGCATTTCTTCTCTCCCATTTTTTAAAACAATCAAGACTCACATCTGTAGCATTTTTCGAGATTACTAAATTTACCTAAACCTTTTCTTACTCTGTACAACACATGCATTCATTTATCTGTTAATCCAACAAGTACTTATTAAATTATTCCTGTGATCACAGGTGGTTTGTTACTCTGGGGAAACAGTAATAAATTCACAGGGCCACCCTGCTACCTGTAGTGCACTGAGGAGCTCTTGGCTTGTGACAGGCCGTTCCAAGAGTGGGCCCCGTGCTCCCTAAGACAGGCAGTGAGAAATCACTGCTGTGCAGCGAAACTCAGCTAGACCTAAAGAGGCTTCCTCATTAATTCTTTTTGTTTCAGGATTTTTTTGGAAACTGTCTTCATTACAAAGAGGATTCTAAATGTTAAAGGATTTGTAAGAGATTACAGGGGGAAAATTTTATTTAAACTTTTTGTTGTGGTGATATTTTATGGTGTGTGTATGTTGTTGCTTCTTATTTCTGCTTTTTAATAAAGAATTGCAGACAACACGGTTTTTGTGTGTGTGTGTTTTTTGGGGGGGAGGAGTTGGGAAATACGGGGGCGATGATAGGTCCTCTTCTCACAAAGAAGCCTAGCCCTTCATACCTTGCAGAATTAATGTGTTTGAGTTTTCTGGATGTGTCAGAACCAGGGAAATCTAAATGGATCAGTCTTGTAACTGCAAAACCTTCAGAAAAATGGTGTTTTTCACACCTTCCATTTACCCCCACATTCTTTGCATTTTATTCTCCTAAATATGTTTACAGAATGTCTCCTTTTTGCAAAGCGCCCTGTGTGTATACTAAGGGGTGCCTTTAGGGAGTGAGCTGGCAAGTGGGTCATACACAGGAAAAGTCATTCAAACCCACTGGGCTTTTTATTTTCAAGTCAGCCTGGGCTTTTTCTTCTTGCCTGCTCCGTTGTGACCACAAAACTAAGTAGCTTGAGACCAGGGCATTGAATGTCAGCAAGTCAGGGAGGCAGGCTGATGCATGTCTGTTTAGTCTCAGCACAGGACGAAATGCCATCATTAATTCATTACCCAGCTGCCTGTCAAATAAATTGGCAATTACGTCCACCGCAGAAGCTTGGAATTCAGTAAATAGCACGTTAGCATCTCTGAGTTGTTGAGAGATGTAAAGGGGAAAATTAAGCAACATGGTGTTTGTATCAGTAGCAGATGACAAGGGGCAACATACACTGGTGATGTGATGTAGTGATGAAAAGTCTGCAAAGGGTTGGTAATGAGCTGTGTGGATTGGAACGTGTTAAAAACCATTGCTGATTTTCCACTTTGTCTTTATGCTTTATTGCAGAGTTCAGCTCCATCCAGCTTGGGAACAGGCTACTTCGTAAGTTTATCTCAACTTTCACATGCGTGCCTTGCATTGGCATTGATTTATTTCTGTGATGTATGCTCATTAGGTTGTGAAAAAAATTTTAAGAAATCCCCTTTCAAAACAAAAGAACTCTTTTCCCATTAATGATTGTTTTACTTTTAAGGTACATGACTTGCTGGGCCCCTGAGATGATGTCCCAGGACCTTTTGTTTGGAGCTTGTTTGGGGGCTCCTGGGGAGTGTTAAGGATATGGGCAAACCTAATGGGCTTATACCACCTTTCCTATGTAGTTGTTTATTTAGTAAGAAGCGTCATGTGTGACTTAGATTTCAGTTTAGATATTTACTCAATCTCAAGATCTCTTGAACAGCATCCTCACATGCACAGTGAATTGCCAATTAATCAGTTAATTTTGATGAGAGGCAGTATTTTAATGATGTTTTCTCATTCAGCCTGAATATCTAGCCTTTAGATTTTCTTGTTGCAGTTATTAAATCTCTAATTTTAGCCAATGTTGGTGTGTTTTATTTATTTATTTATAACAGTATAGTTTTTATTCACATAGAAATGGCCATTGTATTCATTTCTCTTTTAATCAAATTAACTATTTTTGGATTAGTAAACCTTTTTGAGATATTAAAAGAAGTACAACTAATCATCACTTAAATAGGTTGGCAGATCAATGTAGGAGTTTGATGTTGTTTTTAAAGTAATATGATTTGTGTTTTGATATTCTAGTGCTTACTCAGCATTTTATGAGAAAATCATGCAAACAGAATAAAATGAAAAAGAGCTACTGATTTGGTTAATTGTGTCTAAATTTCTTTCCTCCAAAATGCACTTTACTCTGGTTTCCTTCTGCCCTACATTTTCTCCCTATACACTTACATTAAATACTTTAAAAAAAATCATTTCACTGAAGTGTTTTCCAAGTTGGTAGAAGTGATATTTTTCAAATAATTGATTTTCTTTTTTGTCTTCGTTAATGATATCAAGAAAAAAAAACAGAATTTTTTGTACCTGCCTAATATAGTCCGTACACACTTCTCCGTGCTCCTTATTATGACTGAATATTCATGCTTACAGAAACAAGCAGGATGCTGAGGCAGTTTCCTTCTCAGCAGTGGAAATAACAGAAGTAGGCCCATCTGCCATCTCTTCACACCAGGCTGGATGTAGGTTGAGATGCTGGAAGTAAAATCTGGAGACTGACAATATCTATTCTCTATCCAAAAAGTTGAGTCCTCCCTCCCGCAGAACAAGGCCCAAAACTACTAACTTAGCCTGGATCACTTCTAGACTGATTGTTCTAATGCATTTTCTTTTTCTGTGTCACTGTGTTCACCCTGAAACAAGAAAGTTTTTCCAGTAATGTCAGGAATTCTAGTATGCCTTTTGTCAAGGTATTTTTTTAATTCTGGGGAAAAAAATAGTCTATGACAGTATATCCTTCTGAATAATGAGTTTTATCCTTCTGAATAATGAGTTTCATATTCACAAACCTAAAATGACTTTTACACTTTCATGATGTTGGTTGAGTATAAAGTTTTTCTTTATTTTGGTTAAAGTTACTTTTAGTTTTACTTTGCTTCTATATAAAAATCTATCTGTAATATTATAGCTTACATGAAGAAGATATATACCAGATGTATTATAGCTCTCAACTATGTATTATGGTTCTCAACTATGGTAAAAAATATTCTACTTAGAATGTTTCTAATAATGTTATTATTTTATGTTATTGAAGTACAAAATCCATGGATATTATTGCCAAGTTCATAAAAAGTCTTCTATTTCAATTTTCATTCCAAAAATATCACATATAATACTTAATTTTATGTATAACTCAGACATTGGTGAGTTTTACTCTGTAAGTGGAAATGGTAGATTCAAAACTAATAGTACTTTAATGCCACCATATATTTTTGCACCGTGCTTTTATGAACTTGATGTCATTATAGGCTACAATATATGTATATATGTGTTATATATACTATGTCTTCACACCCTTGATTTATGTTTGTAATGAATGCATGGCATCAGGTAAGTGAAATAATAATATTTTTACTCTATGCTTAATCTTCTTCAGCATCTCTTTGAAGTATGGATGGAGGCAAATCACCTGCAGAGTCAATGAGCTATTAATGCAGCTGAACTGAAGGCACTCATATTAGATTTAACAACCTGGAACTATTTTCTTAAACACTCTCTTATACTCCACCTTTATTCTAATTTCATAATCTTTTTTCATTTAGACTTTATGTGCTATGGAGCATTTAGTGAACTTAGGTGTAATATCCAGATCATTGTGTGTTCTAATAAAGTAGATTCTGACCCATGTATCTGCACGGTGTGCATTCTCTCTCCTCTCTCTCTCTTTCTCTCTCTCTTACTCTTTTTCTCTCTCTCACACACACATACCACAAACTTTTTATATAGCACATAAATTCTGCCTTTTTCCAATTATTTTCTTATATCAGTAGTGATCCATGAAGGAATTTGAAGAAGAAACCTTTGTTTTTTAATTTAGTTATATTTGTTTGTATCTACTTGATTTTGTGTTCTAAAGATGTCTGCTTAAGTCTGTCACTTTTGCATTCCATTTATAAGCTGAAAATTTGAGAATGAGAACAGCAGACAAAATCAGTATTTACATAAGCATATTGCAAAGAATTCTTAAAGTAGACAAAATATAGAAGGATTGGAACAAACTTTTCACATTTTTGGGAGCTTTTGAATAATGTGGGTGTTGTACACACAGAGACACACATGTATATATATTCATTACATAGTCATGCCCAACTCATATTCTAAATATAAATGGGAATATGGGAATATACAGTTGGATCTATTTGGGTTGTTTTTTTTGGCAAGAAAACTAAAACTTGTTGGAGTGTGTAGGATATTTTTTTAACATGAATACACTGAACACTTTTTATTTTCAATAGAAAATTATGGCCTATATTTTCTTATGCTTGTAGCTTTATTCACTTGCATAGGGATTATCAAGATATGAACTCTAGTTGTTTGGCCTTATTCAGGCTAATTAATGTCTCTGAGGGTGTTTCTTCTCTTGTACTTACCTCAGAGATCAAAAATATTGTTTGCGGGGCTAGAGTGATAGCACAGCGGGTAGGGCGGTTGCCTTGCACGTGGCCAACCCAGGTTCAATTCCCAGAATCCCACATGGTCCCCTGAGCACCGCCAGGAGTAATTCCTGAGTGCAAAGCTAGGATTAACCCCTGAGTGAGCATCGCCATGTGTGACCCAAAAAGCAAAATATATATATATATATATATATTGTTTGCTATAATTCAATACTAGCAAATTACAAACCTTGTCCTTTTTTCCATTGTGGTGTGTGATAAAATAAATTTGGTCCCATTAAATGGCTGTGCATTGTTCTGGTGATGGTGAATTACCATTATACTCAGCCTAGGACTTTGTATTTTGTCAACTGCGTGTCACTTTACTCTGCAGACAAAAATATAACATGCATACTATCTTGCTATTAAAATGAAATCTTCTATTGTCTAGTTACATGTTTTTTCCCATTAAAGTTATTTTTTCACTCTCCCCGATTTGAGTAACTTAAATTACTGCTAATAGCTCTTCGTGTTGGGCCACAAGGTTAATACAAAGGATGCATTAAACACTTCAGTCCTATGAAGTTGTATGACCTTTCTGCTGCTTCCCAACAACAAAAATACCTGATTTCCCTTGCACACATGAAAGCAGTAACGGAGGGTAGTAGAGGGAACACACCCTGTGGTTGACATTGGCCTTGTGTGTCATCCATCACAGAAATCACAAGAATGTGGATTGTTCTTTAAAAGTCCTTCCTTCATGTGCCAACGCATTGGTAGCTACTATTGTTGTAGCAGTGAATTCCTTGGGAATAGAAACCTGATCCTTGATGTACAGAGAAACTTGATTATTTCTGTTTTGCTTCCCTGCATAAATTTTAGCCCATTTCCAGGTCTGAAATGTTGTCTTTAGCCCAGTTTTCAGTAACTTGGATTCTGCGTTTAGTAAGCCAGATATTTTTGATAATGATTCTCAAGCAATAATTTTATCCTCCTCAATTGGAGTACATCTAATAATATACATAATTTAAGATTATCGAGAAATCTTACCTAGTGATTAAAAATAATAAACTTGAATTTCTCTTATGTCTTTTTTTATGGTTGAAATAGCTATGAAATTGTTGGTAGCACTGTTAACAGACAGTAGATGTAACATTGACCTGTGACTTTCCTCACAGACTTGTCAGGTCTTAAAGTGATTAAGATATTTGCAAAGATTTCCATTTACTTCAGTTGTCACGTACTTCATAGCCAACCTTAATTCTTTAGATAAATAAGGTAGAAGCCAGGCCTCCAAGTCCTTGAAACATAGATGAGTTTACTACAAGGAAAATTGATCAGTCCTCTGAGCAATGCAAGTTGAACACTTGGTTACTCAATTATGTGAGACTTCTGTAGGACTTGATGTTGACATTTTATTGTTGTTGTTTTGACCTTTCCTCCCTGCTACCCCAGCTGTACTTAAGATTTACTATTTGCTCTGAACTCAGGGATCACTTCTGGCGGGATTCTGGGTACCATATGTGCTGCCAGAGATTGAGTCTGGGTGGACTGTGTCCAAGGAAATGCTGTGCTGTTCCTTTGACCTTGATACTTAACATTAAAAATCATTAAATTTATTGAATTTAATTATAAAAATAACTCAAACTCAGTTACTTTGAGTTGCAAAGTCATTCATGATTTGAGTTTCAATCATATGGTTTTTGCACACTTATCCCTTCATCAGTGTCCGCTTCCCTCCTACAACGTCCCCAGCTCCCTCTTGCCCTCCTCTATTGCAGACACTTTTCTTTTTTTCCGTTTAAGCACTGTGGTTTGCATTACTGTTACTGAAAGTGATGTTTACAGTTTTGACAGATAAAGGTGAAGCAATATTAGAGGTAAAGGGAGCAACAGAGGACAAGAACAAAGAGAAATAGCAACATT